AACTCTACTTCCAAAAAACATTTGTTCATCATGTATTCTAGTAGAGAATACATGAATCTTTTTTTTTAATGGTTCACGGGGCGGGGCATCTCCACCCCGCCCCGCCCCATCCTGCCCCGAGACTCGAGACGGGGCGTCCCGCCCCGCCCCGCCAACCAGTTTGGGGCGGGGCGGGGCCATCTCTAATTAATATTACTTGATACGGATTATGAGAGATATATAGTACAAATTCTTGTATCTTAATTAATATTATTATATTTGACCGATGTAAGATTTTACCCTTAATAAGGTTGACTTTCTATACATATAGTTACCAGTGTGGATCCCCGGTGATCGAGGCCTACTCTCAGGTAGACTGATCGAGGATGGAAAGGTTGTGTAAAATCAATGATAAGAGATAGTAAAACTTCCAACTCAAGATGTTGCAAGAGGAATTGTTTACTGGAATGAGGAATATACTACATGGCTTAAATCACTTTTTTGCATTCTTCATAACTCATCAAAGAACGCGGGAGTCGATGAGGATGTCAAAATTTGTTAGCCGACTCAAGCGATTTAGAACTCCGTAGGAAAACCCGCCCATGTAGTCATCTCGGATTCTTCCAAACTCAACATCCTGAGAAAGGGTCATGTTGAGCTGCGCATGTTCAATGTTAAATTCCAGTGTGTACTAGCGAAATGTTTAATTCCATTGCCTAAAAATGGATTGACAAAGTAATAAAACCAGTTTTACTTTCAATTAATTTCACGCCTTACTACAATAAGAATTTAATATTCGAAGACGACCAAAACAGGGCGTAGTTGTTGACATAAACTTCGCCAAAAAAGTGACGAGAGTGATACTGTTAAGAAACTTTCGCGATTGATTTGGACTGAATTAAACTTTAAGGACTAAGACCAAATGTAAATTTAACTAATCCAACTTGAAACAGATTAAACAAACTCATACATGGCTGTTTTCTTCAAGTACTGAAATTATAATGGAAACGACGCATATATAAGGTGTTTACTATATACCAAAAGTTCAAAATTCAAGTGATATATATTAAATTTTAAGAAATGTACATTCTAAAATCAAGGATTCAGACCATTTCAAAAAGAACTCTCCAAAAAGAACAAATTGTAATAAATCGTGAAAACCGAACAAAATAGAATAGTCAGAGAGATCTCTCCAGAGAAAATATTCTCGATTACTACCGTTGAAATTTAATTGTTTGAAAATTATCAGACTATCCTCACAGTATTTCAAATTATTTGAAGGCAATTGTCAGAAGTAACGAATTGAGCATGATGATCATCTTGAAGTAGGTTTGAAGGCTTTTGTAGTTATAATTGTTGGCTAATAACATTGTATTGTTGTTAGATCTTTCAATTTTTGAAAGAACTATTTTTACAATGAGTACAAATTAATAGGGGTGAACCGGTTCCATTTGGTCCTTGTTCCAAGAGAATCGAACCGAACAATGAACCAATGATGTTAATGGAATCAAATTGTTTTTTTTAAGATGCAGAACCGATCCGAACCGAACCATTTGGTTCTGGTTCGATTTGGTTTGATTCTAGTACTATTACTTAAATTTTTAGACTTGCATCATATCCATAAGTTACTAATATGCATTTAAATAAAAAATATAAGCATCAAACATTTAGTAAGTTCAAATTATCAATAATCAAGATCATACAAGTCCAAACTAACAAACAAAATATAAACGAATGAGTCATTGCGAGAAGTTAATAATATCGAGTTCCATATTCATCCTACGTCCAATCAATTCCTTTACATGAAGCCGTTAGACCTACATGAGAAAAATGAAATATGAAACTGACATATAAATATAAATTTAAAACTCGAAACTAATAGGCAGGGGTGGTGACAAAATGACCAAGCCAAGCAACTTAGCCCTTACCATCAGATAACCATTAACCGTTTAATATTCCATTACTTATGTTGTAACTTTGAGAAAGTCTACAAACATAATTCAAAATACACAAATAAAACAAACAAAAATAAATTAAAATTATTTACAATTAATAAGATGTAACATAATAATATTTTATAAAATAAATTTTACCATATTCAATTTCGTCGTAGAACTCCGTCTCCTCAA